AGCGGGTTGTTTAATTGGTTTCACTAACCTACTTCATCCTCTCTCTCTCTCTAATGTCTCTCTCATTTTCTCTTGTACCATGTGTTTTAAAACTTGTACCATAGTTGTTTTGTATTTTTTTTAATTGAATGGGTTGAGAAATATAGAATTTCCGTGTGTTGTTGGTTAGGAAAGATAAAAAAAAAGAAGAGACAAAAATTAACGTGATAGTGAGTTGGGAGGAAATGACTCATTCCTCTCTAAGAAGCTAATCAAAACTACCATATCAACGTGTTTGATTGGAAGATTGGTGTGCAATTAGACACGTTTCTTTGTATCAAGGAATCATGCATTTTTTACTAAATTTTTGCTCCACTAATATTTACCTACGTTTAAACTATGTATATCTTAAAACGAAAAAGACTATCTATCTATTTAATCATTGGCATAGTATCATTTTTTTTTTCATCTTATATTTTGATTTTGACATTTATCATGATGCATGTAGAAGAATAAATATGAATATTTAATAGGAAGATACTGAACCTCTCATCTTTCTCATCTTTAAATGACTGACAAATAAACATTATATGCATATTAATTACGACCTAGAAAACCGAATGACAAGCAATACATAACATATACAAATTGAGGTACAAGCAAAATATAAAAAGCACAAGAATATATAACAAGAATATATATGGTTCACAACTTAACACGATCATTATAATTCTATTACATCAACATTTGAACTATAGAAAACGTTTTATTAACAATGCGACTAGGGTTTACAGTTACACGATATGCAAATACGCTGAGAGAAATTTTGTGGCTAAAAATTCCATATGGTTGAATCTATAACGTTACAATTTCACAAGCAAGATTTTCGTTTTTAAATAAGATAAAATCCCTATTTATATAAAACTCAAGTTATGAAATCTCATTTGTTCAAAAATACAGTTGTTTGAAAATCAGAGTAACATAAATAATGCGGAATCTCCATTGTTGCTGATGAATGTGTACAATCATGCCTTCGCCTTACCACGATCACGAGTGGTACCTAAAAAACATTTAATCCACAACTGTAAGCTAAAGCTTAGTGAGTTCCCCCAAAATACCACACACCACAATACATATACAATGCATGCACACATGAGCCTTCAGTCTATCTGGTCCGCCTCGCATGGCCTACAACATGCATTGACCGCTCTCTTGAGCTTGCTTCTTGTTTCCTTGCACCAAGATGAATCTCTCCTTTTCCCAAGCTTCACCAAAATCCAAATAATAAATTCTAACTCAATAAATCAAACCCTCAATCATGCATGGAGGCTAGGGTTTCGTATGAAACGGTTGGAGGCTGAAGATGATGCCCTAAACCTTGAGTTTAGGCCTTTATTGAAGAAACCCTAAATTTCATGGGCTTGGGCAATAGTGCTCCCCACGTCGTTGCACCCTCCTTTTGCCACGTCATGGCGACCAACATATCCGTGTTTTTCATTAACCATGCACCACGTCGTGGTGTACCTTGACCAACCATCTCCAAAACTTGATTTAGGCTTAATATTTCTCCACATTCAAAATCTTAACTCCAAGCCCAAGAACCTGGGTCCAAACTCGATCCTTTGAGACCCGAGACCTTTACCAGGTTAATTACCACCCAAACCTCCAAGTTAGGGTTATTTCGAAACTGGGTGTCACAGAATCGAGGCTGCACCCTAGGGCTCCTGTTGTCATCGTGACAATCAGGTTCCTTATTAACCATCCGATTTCACTAAGTTTGTAAAAATCACTGGATGATAGCTAGACAATCAACTAGGGAATGGTATTTATCAGTACATGCGAAGATTAATCTAGATCCTAAATTATAAACTAATTTATTTAAAAAAAATATATATCATCACATAGCAAAGACTGATTCATTTTATTTTCACATCATAAATTATACAGATAGGTGAAAGTTAAAACAAATAGTCAAGTTGGATTTATTTTATGCTCAGATACATAGAAACAACATCGATGTGAAGTCCAATGTCAACATGATGAGAGACGAAGAAACAGAGACGTCAACATGATAAAAGATAAAAAGACGTGAAGCTAAAATTAGCACATTTATTTATCATTCCCATATTTTCATTCTAAAATTTTCATTTTTTTTTCCAGATTTGTTAACTTATTTTCACTTGTTTATAGTTTTAACCATTTTATATTTGACTAGTTTTGACCGCCTAATCCGATTAATCGTCCTCCTAATCCGATTAATCGGCCACTAGTCCAATTTTAACCGAGCACACATAATACGACCGATTAACATTATTCGTAGACGGATGAAAAGTGTCAAGTGATCGTCTAGACCGATTTTTACAACACTATTGAATCACCCAACTCAATATATTTATGTTCTTAACTCCCCAAACTCTTTGAACCCTAATAAGTAACAACCCTTGATCTCTCCCCTTTCACTTGTTAATTATTTTTGTATTAAGATGTAGAAACTTCATAGATAAAAATATTGTATATGGCTGAAATATCAATATAAGAAATTATTCATTTTCTCTACATATAACATATTGCATATGCACTTGTTAAAGGCTGTTTCATAAAAATGCCAAATTGCCGATCAATCATCTAAAATTCATAATGAAATCCTAGCCCAGCTTGCGAAAATCTGGCGAATGGCGCCCATATTTTGAATTCTTATAGCAAAGTGGGCCATATTTGGGCTTACAAGTTGATATCCGTCTTTTCCAAAAAGATACAACCAAAAGTCGATTTGTCACCTCCAAAATTTGAATATTCAAATTTCAGGCATATATTTTCTTGTAAATAACTAAATATCCATAAGTGGTGTGACAATGTAAAAAGTATGATAATTTTGAACCAATGTATCAAATTTGAATTAGTTTATTTAAAAACCAGAAATACAAGTTTATATGAATATAACTTTCATATGGCAATATCGACCTTGAAAGATTTTTGTAGTTGATCTATTAGAAAATTTATATTCTAGGAACATTGATTTATTATTATTTTTGCGTTGTAAATTAATGAAAAAATTGACATAAATATGATAATCGTCTTATTCATGTTTTTTGAAATTATGGTTCTTTTTATAAAAGTAAATAAATTTGATGAGACTTTCGTCTCTTTCCAAAAAAAGAAAAAGAAAAAAAAATTATGATTCCTTTTCTCCCTTTACTAGAATCCATGACTACTCTCATAAAATACATCAATTCATCAAATATGTTATATTCAACATGTAGCTAACTTAGTTGACAACAATGACTAGATTTGAATAAAATATATATTTATTGTTACATACTGTAGCATAAAGAATAATACAACTATTAAATAACATTTTTGGTTCAACCACTATTTAAAAAGGAAGTTGTGTTAAGAACCTTAGTTTATTTCTATGACTCTCAAAAAGTTATTAAAAATGTAAATTAATCGACCTATACAAGGTTTGTATTTAAACACATAGCTTCACAAAATCGCTATATACACACAACCTAGATTAATAGCATTTATAAATAAAGTTATAAAACTTTAAACCACGTATCATAATTATCATATTTAATACCCCTATGTAGGGCTGATAAAATTGTACCACGGAAAACCAACCAACATGTTACCAACCGAACCAATAAACTTGGTAGCCAATATATTTGGTAGCCAACATGTTTGGTTGGTAGTACCGTACCAATTGATCAATGTTGGTACGGTAATGGTACAAAAGTTTGAATACCATGGTAATACCGTACCAACCAATTTATTATATATATATATATATATATATATATATATATATATATATATATATATATATACATGAAATCGTATATTTCAACTATTAATTGTGTTTAGTGTTTACAGTTTTAATAACATTATATTAGTTATTTGATTGTATTAGTCGATAGTTATTACCACGTTAAAGCACAAAATTAAAACGTTACTTTAGCATTACTTTAGTATAATTCTTTTGTAAACAAAAAAACTACGTAACTAATTTCTATACTAAGCATTAAAATCCCGATGTCTTTATTTTAGTAGAATTCTTTTGTAAACAAAAAGAACTACGTAACTAATTTCTATACTAAACATCAAAATGCCGATGTCTTTGCTTATTTTTAAATGTTACAATAGAAAATTAAAAGAAGTTGGTATATACCATTACCAATTTGTACCAAGCAAACATGTTGGTAGCCAAATAAATTGGTACCAAGCATACTTGGTACGGTACCGGTAGAAATTTTTGTATACCAATTATAGTTGGTACGGTACACGGTTTAGAGAAAAATGAATTGGTACCGTACCAATTCCACCCCTACCCCTATGAATTGAGGAAGTTTATGATAAAAATTTGTGAAAGTACAAGGGGCAAAATGTAATATACGAAACGATCACGTGCACTGCACCAACTAACGATGGCATTTCAGACATATTTTTATTGTTTGAACTCCGAACAAAAGAGGGTCAACCAGAGAGAGAGAGAGAGAGAGAGAGAGATAAGCTTAGCGTTACAAAGATTTGTAACTGTAGTTGCAAGAAATTCCATTTTCTTATTCACACACGCAATCAGAAGCTTCAAGTTTAAGGAGTACAGAAGGCATCCGTCAAGGGATTAATCTAGGGTTTTCATGTTCTTTGTGCCCACGGATTTATCGAGGTAAGTGGTTTAACTTCCACTCTTCTATATCGTTACATTACATAGTTAAAGTATTCCGTATTATCATGCTGGAAAATTTTAGTAGTGAATTGAATCAAGTTTTGTTGAATCGGAACTCGAGAAATTTTGAACTGGATTGTGTGTATTTGAATTTTAAACGAATTAGGATTTAGGACCTCCGGTACCTGGATTTGACTGTATTCTCATCAATTCGATTCTCTCGAACTTGAATTTTATAGTTCAAATTTGAAGCTTGAAAAGTTTCATGAACAGTGCTGTTTTGGTAGGATTCATGAATTGAGCTTTTTCTAAAAGGTTAATTTTGATTTTCGTTAAACTGTAGGTAGCGAAGAGGATGTCAAAAAACGAGCTCAAAAGGAGAAGTGGTGAGGGTTCTGGAAATGGAATATTGTTCAAGGATATAGATGTATTGACTAAAGCATTATATGAAGATAAAACACATCCCAGGAGCATCATAAACTCTACAGCTAGTAGCAGATCAAAAGCCATTGTTAAACCTCATCTTCCTGAAACAAAATCAAAATCTAAAATCAACAATGAAGATCGGTTTCTAAAGGACAAGAAATCCATTTGGAGTTGGAACACCTTCAAATCTTTCACACATGTCCGCAACAAGAGATTCAACTGTTGTTTCTCCCTTCAAGTCCATTCAATCGAAGGACTCCCACCAAGTTTTGATAATCTCACACTCTGTGTAAAGTGGAAGAGACGTGATGGTGAGTTGACCACTCACCCTGCATCAGTTTCACAAGGTGTAGCTGAATTTGAAGAACTGTTGACCAACACTTGCTCTGTTTATGGTAGCAGGAGTGGGCCCCATCACTCAGCTAAATATGAAGCAAAACACTTTTTATTGTACGCATCTGTGTATGGAGACCCTGAGCTTGACTTGGGAAAACACAGGGTTGACCTTACTAGATTACTCCCTCTTACATTAGAAGAGCTTGAAGATGAAAAAAGCTCAGGAAAGTGGAGTACTACATATAGATTATCAGGCAAGGCAAAAGGTGCAAGTATGAATGTCAGCTTTGGGTATTCAGTAGTTGACAGCATTAAATCTCCTACTGGTCAAAGTCAAATGAAGCGAGGTGAAAGTCTTCCTGTTATGTCTCGTTCATACAATCGTTCTGTAGAAGATATAAAGGATCTTCATGAGGTTTTTCCAGTTTCAAAATCAGAACTTTCTGAATCTGTTAGTATGCTGTATAAGAAACTTGATGAAGATAAGTCAACCATATCTGTTGACTATGAAACCAAACGAGATGTTCAAGACTTTGACACTCCTGATCCTGATAAAAGTGAGTTTTCTATCCTAGAACAGGGAATAGAGTTTCCTGTGAAAGAAAAGGCAACACCAGAACATGACATAAAAGCTTATGAAGAGGAAGAAGGTACTTTAAAAGATCAGAGATTTGATGAAAAAGAATTAATCATGCAAGAATTGGAATTGGCCTTGAATAATGTGAATGAAGTATCAGATTCTCAAGAAGAAAGTGAGAATCTAAAAGAAGATGAAGAAGAGGGTACTTTAAAAGATCAGAGATTTGATGAAAAAGAACTAATCATGCAAGAATTGGAGTTGGCCTTGAACAATGTGAATGAAGAATCAGATTCTCAAGAAGAAAGTGAAAATCCAAAAGAAGATGAAGAGGGTTTGAAGGTGACAGAAACAGAAAGTGTTGCAGGTTTTGAATATGAAGAAAATGAAAACATGGAGGTTAAAATCGGTTATAAAAAGAAAGGAAAGGCACTGAAATTAGATCATGCTACTGAAGTTGTAGCTGAAGATTTCTTAAACATGCTTGGAATAGACCACAGCCCCTTCAGTCTGACTTCTGAAAGTGAGTCAAACTCTCCACGAGAACGTTTACTAAGACAATTTGAAAAAGATGCATTGACCAATGGTTCTTCTTTATTCAACTTCAATCTTGATGATGATGATGATGATTTCATTTGCGACTCTTCATCCACCTCAATGTTACCCGAAGAACATAACAAAACAAAAGCATCGATCATGGAAGACATGGAATCAGAAGCTTTGATGCGTGAGTGGGGTCTAAATGAGAAGGTTTTCGAGCGGGACCCATCGAGTACAAAAAGTCAAGTTGACTTTTCTCCTGAAGAACCACTTGAGCTTCCTCCACTTGGAGACAATTTAGGTCCGTTTGTTGAGACAAGTAATGGAGGGTTTTTGAGGTCAATGAGCCCTGAGATTTTCAAGAATGGTAAAAATGGAGGGAATTTGATCATGCAGGTTTCAAGTCCAGTTGTTGTCCCTGCAGAAATGGGGTCTGGAGTTATGGATGTTTTACAAGGTTTAGCTTCTGTTGGTATTGAAAAGCTTTCATTTCAAGCAAACAAGCTCATGCCTTTAGAAGATATATCTGGAAAAACTATCCAACAAATAGCTTTAGAACAAGAATCATCATCATCATCCATCGTAGGTCAAAGTCAAAGATCAAGAAAATACGATTTGGGGGATACAGATCCAGAATATGTCTCTTTAGAGGATCTTGCACCATTGGCAATGAACAAGATCGAAGCTTTATCAATGGAGGGGTTAAGAATACAATCCGGGATGTCTGATAATGAAGCACCTTCAAACGTAAGCCCAAAATCCATAGGCGAAGTTTCTGCTCTGGAGGGTAAAATGGTAAATTTGGGAACTGGGGGGTTACAGTTGTTGGATGTTAAGAACAATGGACATGATGAAGATGATGATGGTATGGATGGGATGATGGGTTTATCTGTGAGTTTAGACGAATGGATGAGATTGGATAGTGGTGAAATCGACGAGAGTGAAAGAACTTCAAGAATTCTTACAGCTCATCATGCTAGTGACATGGCGAGGGTAAAAAGAGGAGGTAAAAACAAGAAAGGTGGGTTGTTGGGGAATAATTTTACTGTTGCGTTAATGGTTCAGCTTCGTGACCCGTTAAGAAACTTTGAACCGGTGGGGACACCGATGCTTGCTCTTGTTCAAGTGGAACGCGTCTTTGTCCCACCAAAACCCAAAATTCACAGCTCCATTTACTGGAGAAAACCCGAAGAAGAAGAAGAAGAAGACGAGGTGAAAGTTAAAGATGTTGAAGAAGATAAGGTGGTGGTTGTTGAGGAAGAAAGTGTTTTGGTTCCTCAGTTTAAGGTTGTGGAGGTTCATGTTGCGGGTGTGAAAAATGAGAGTGAGGGGGGTAAAAAGGGAATTTGGGGGTGGGGGTCGAATGTGAAACAAGAGAAGGCGGGGTCGCGGTGGTTGGTGGCGAATGGGATGGGGAAGAAGAACGGGAAGCATCTGCTGATGAAATCGAAAGCTGCTGATAAATCCTCTGGTGGTGGTGGTGGTAGTATGTGGAGTGTCTCATCAAAGGGGAAGGGGAAAGGGAAGGTGGATCCACCTGTTACTGTTAGGAACCCTAATGTTATCATTCCTAATGAAACAGTGAGGTTGCTAAGTGGAGCAGGCTTTTTATGAAAATGAAATGGTTTCTGTTGTGAACAGATTGCTATATAACTTATAAAGATGTTTTGTTTTGTTAAAAAGAAATTATGGTTGAAACTGAAGAGGAACCTGTTTGAATCCTTGCTTGTGTACAGCTAAAGCCAAAAGTCATGGCATGGATGATGTAGGGTGATTGAAATTTCTTCTACTTTATAGCTTGTGTAGGCCATTTTGCCATTTTCTTATGTTTGTGGTTTTAACTCAGAAAGCTTTTCAGTTTCAATTTTCATAGTTTGCAACGAATATTTGAATGTATTTATTTTGTGATTTATATTATATGGCAACCACCGGTTTGCAAAGAAAAAAAATATTTTTATCAAATTACATGCAAGTTATCCGTTTTTTGATGAGGAATCCAAACTACTAGTCCCAACAATTGTCCTAGTACAAATGGGAGTCAACAACATTTGAGATATAGTACCACAACTCATTCCATCCATTGATCATTTTGTCTCAGCATTAGTAGTTGTCTATCTTGCCAATTCCAGAATAGGCACCGATAGAAATCAAAAAAACAAAAGTTTGAATCAACTATTTTAGTGATATTATGCTATTTTATTCCCAAGACAACACAAGGCAGATTAATCAAGCAGGATTACAAGCAGTCAATACATTTGAAGAACTCACCAAGCATCTTGTTGAGTTACCAGGAGAGATAAAAAAAAAAAACAACTATGTCAAATAATCCTCAATGCAACAAGATATCATTGTCAATAGTGTAAAGAAAATTTAGAAGAAGCACCAATAATGGAACAATGATACACACAATGACGTCAGTGAGAAAATATAAGAGCAAAAACAATATACAATATTACTGTTCAAACACGATACAATTATTACCTGTCAAACATATAATAATTATAATATATTGATTTTTGTCAGATCTATAATAGTATGAATGTATTGTATGTAGGACACATAGGTCAATGATACATAGTAACATCCAATATGTATGTAATAGTATGAATGTATTGTGTGTATGACACATAGGTCGATAATGCATAGTAACATCCAATGTGTTTGTTAGGTATGTGTAGTTTGTAATAATTTCATAATGTAGAATAGTATGTGTAATTGACTAACAATAGTTAGTCATATGTTGTGTTTGTAAAATAATGTCTATATAAGGATTGTTCATCCCATGAAATAAAATTTGTGAAATAAGTTTACTCTCAGAATTTAAAAATTTGTCTGTTGAAGTTTTTAACTTGTGAATAACAGATCATATATCCTAAAAATATCATCCAAGAATTCGACAAGCAGACGAATATTGTGTATTGTGGTAATATTAGTGTACTCTACTGAACCAACAACCGAGTTCGACATCAAAGAACAAAGCATATCCAAATCAAAGGTAATGACTTCTATTATCTTTGTTTATTCAATTTTATTCTTTTGTCCAACTAAACATAAGAACATGCATGTTTCATTTAACAGTTTTAAGCAAAATGTTCTGATAATTTGTTAAACAGATCCATAAAAGCAATCATGGGTAAACTAGAGATTCCAAGAAAAAACATTTTCTTTTTGCAATGTCCATGGACAAGTAGATAAAATTAAAAAGATCTCAAGTCTTTCTACATTAACATCTAAATGACTAAAATAACCAAAACACCATATTAAAACCAACATTCTTTCCTACACTTGTCTCAAATTCAACCATCAAGGTCGTGCTCTCTTGGTGCTACAACTAGGACATTTATAGTGCTTAATATGCTCAGCTTTTGCAGGAGTAATCTTTACACACTTCCCATGAAACCACCTCTCACACAAATCACAGCAAATCCAAAACTCATCAGAAGCATAATTCTCTCCACAGGCCCCACACAATGCATCACCATGTTCATCCTCCTCCTCATCTTCTTCTTCCTCATCAACCTTACCATACTTCCCCTGAAAGGATTCAGACCCTTGCTGTTCATATCAAACATTCAACCAAAACATATTTTCAATATATTATCAATAAAACAATGGAAATAAAGTCTCATAAATCATATCATACCCCTTTGGTGTTTGACTTTGATTTGTTGTTGTTGCTGTGGTTTGCCATCTTTGTTTGTTTCTTGGTGTTTCCACTCACGACTTCAAAGATTGTTGGGAGATCATTTATCATGTTGAACAATCGTTTCCTGCATCAGAATGTAATGATTATAAAAGTAATCTAACCACCATTGATGAAGGAAACAGAGATGAAAGAACCTGTCGGATTTGTCAAAACCAAATCTAGCACCAAAATAGAATGCTACAGAAAGTAGCCATGCATCACTGTGGACAGCAACTAAAGCCAACCAGTCGTTTTCTTGCATTCCATCTCTTGCAAAATTGATACCTAATGCAGGCTCAGGAAGCTCTGGAGGGACCTCTTCTGCAGGTAGGTTAACCTCCCATTGTTCGCTAGGGAATCCATACAAACACAGATTTTCTTTCTCTGAAAACACCAAAACATGAAGTAAGTTCATAAAAACAAGAGTAGCCCCAATTGTTTCTATAACATGTTTGATCCGAATAGCTCCAAAACATCACACAATTATCTCCTTTTTAAAAAGGAAATAGAAAACCTAATCATGTATCTTCAGTTGATGAAATTGTAAAACATATGATACGGGGAGAAAGTGATAAGAAGTTAAGAACAGCTGGAAAATTGAAACCCTAGGAACGAACCAGGATCGCACTGCCGGAAAAAATCTTCAACATCTACAATGCGAAACAAATAGACGATATCAGATATTAGGAATTGAACCCTAGAGACTTGAAACTTGAGCAAATTCGTTGAGTGAGAAATTGAGATTGGATAATTAGGAAAGGAAATAGAAGAGATTAGGCGCACCGGTTGTGAGGGCCTTGATCATGCCACTACGACGGCCTTTGTAATCTCTGAAGACTTCTTCGACGGTCCGAGGATTGTATGCAGCGGCTCCGGCAGCGTCCATTGTCGCCGTCGCTCTCCGAGGAGGAAACACGTTCACTGTATGTGCGCTGAAAAGAAAACTTGATTTTCAGAGATGGATTTTAGCATCCATTAACTTCATATAAAACAAAAAAAGAACATGGAATTTTGTATTTGTGTGTGTATGAGAGAAGAAAGAGAGGGGCAGATGGGTTTCCTTCTTATATAATATTGGTTGACTACTTTATTTTTTAGATAAATGCACACTCCGAAAAATATTTTATTATATAACACAATTCTCTTTTATAAAAGATATGTCGCAAAATAGACCAAAATACTTTTTGGTCAAAGGGTGTGGCTTCAGCCTGGTCAAAGGGTGTGGCTACAGCCTGCAGTGGCACCAAGATTGAGATAACCCCTTTAGTTAGCACTGACAAACGTGTTGTGTTGTATCGGATTTGTATCGTGTCAGCTAAAAGGGTTGAGAAAGCTGGACTCTAAGACCTTCCCATATGGGGTAGATGTCTACGAGTGAGGTCCGACATGACGTAGATGTTTAACTGTGAACACAAACCCAAAGGGACGTAAATGTGTTGTGGCTTGGCTACGGTCACAAGAGATTACGATGCATTCCGTTGATTAGCCTTAAACGGTCACAATTTAGATTGTTGCATATTACTCTTGCCATGTAAAAAAATTATATTTAAATCGTACAACCTTTTATTCATAAATTCCAACCTTATACACATTTCACACTACAAACAGGGGCAGATGCAAGATTTTGTATTATGTGTTGCCGGTGGCATATTTTTTTTACGTAGTGGCACAATACTAAAAAAAATAAAAAATTAGAAATTTTTTACACTGTGTCTAAAAAAACAGGGGTTGTCGATATCATTATGGGCACCATAGTGGAACTGCCCCTCACTACAAACACATACATTTTCTTTCTATATCCTATTCTCTTCAAATCATGGATCCAAACCAAAATACCAAAACCACTCCAAACATCCCCAAAAACCTCAAACACCTCAAATGATCCATTCTCATATGTTGGTAATTACATGCAAATGTTAACATCTCCAATTTAACAACATCTATTCACTAACTATTCATACCCCCAAACTACTTCCAACAACCTATACCACAACAATTCAATCATCATAATTCAAAGCTTTTCAACAAAAACCATCTTAACCTCAACAATTTCAAGCAAACCATCTCAACCCCAAACTGAAGTCTCATTTTCTCAATCCCAACCTAAAAACTTCGTCCAAGAAACTCAACCACAACCTAGAAAAAGACAAAAAAAAAGGGAAATGGAAAAAAAATTTGTTTGGAGCGAAGAAGATGAGGAAGCTTTAGCGAAAGCTTGGATTTTCATATCGGGAAGACAAGCAAACCGGCAACGTGCAATCGACACAAAGTTTTTGGAATCGTGGTTTAGACCACTTTCATGCACAATCAGGAAAGTGCCCATATCGGACATACGACTCGGTCAACAGAAAATGGCGTGAAATACGAGTAGCTTGTACAAAATTTAATGGTATATTTGAAATTCTTAAAAATATGCACAAAAGTGGTACCAACGATTTCAACATTTTGTTAATCACGTGCCACCAATACAAGCTTAGCAACGTCGATTACCCATTCAACCACCAAAAAACGTGTCGTGTTTGTCGTAAGGGTCCAAAATAAGTCCTTAATCCAAACGTGCATTTGAAATCGACCACCATCTCCAATAAAAGGTTGAGAACATCCGAGTCGGATGTGGGTTTTGGCATCAACCTCAACGATGACTTGGACGACACCAATAGGGAGGGTTCACCGGAAGTCCACCTTCATCAACCACCATGAAGGGACAAAGGGAAACGAGCGGCATCTTCATCTGGAAAAACGAGTACCAAAGAAGTATCGTGTCGGAAAATCTAACAGCATTTCTAAAAATTCAACGCAACGTCATCAAAAAATATGGCAATTAGTTATTATATTTTGATATCCATGTGTTTTTTATTAGTAATGTAGGTTTAAATTTGTAACTTTAAATTTTTATGTTTTTTTTCCAATTTGTAATCTAGGTTTAAATTTCTAAGTTTTAATGTCTAATGTAATTTTTTTATTAGTAAAATATTTATTTATGTTTAATAATTATGTTTTTTATTTAATATAATGTCAAAAAAATATAAAAATATAAAAATATATAAATAATATGGAATGATAACTATTTAGAATGGTTAGTGGTGTAGTAGTAAGGCCGGACGGAGTGGTGAGCGGGGAAGCCGCGGGAAACGATCCCGCACCAAGAAACACCGCACCAGGGGTGCGGGAAAGGAAAGGTGGGAAGAAGGTGGGGGAAGAGAGTCCCGCACTCTCTCTCTTTTTGTGAGTGGCTGAAATTTGTTTTTTGTTTTTTTTTTTTTTTTGAGTTGCAGGTTTTAACGAGAGGAAGAAGATGAAGGCTTCTGAAAATGACATATTTGGCCCCTATGTTTTGGTCTTATGGCAGAATACACTCAACTTTAAAATCTCTTCACAAAAATAATTTTCAAAAATTACAAAATAGACCCTACACTTTTAATTTTCTACTAATTTAAATATTAGGTTTAATGTAATTTTTATTTTAATTAATTAAATGCTTTTTATTTTTAATTAAATTTTATGTTTACTATTAATTTAAAAATTATAAATCATAAAAAAAATTTATTTAAAAAAAAAAAAAAAAGTGAGGGAAGCCCTTCCCACCCATTCTTTGGGTTTTAGTTGAGGGAAAGAGGGGTATGGCCCACAAAAAGTGAGGGAAGCTTCCCTCCCACTCCCTCCGGTCTAAGAATGTAGTGAATATGATATGATGCTGATATGACGTTACTTTTCTAATAGGAATGTGATGATCATACCCTTTAACATAACTTGACTCGTTTAATTATCATGACTTGTCGTGTTAATCGGTTTATTTTCGTGTTGGGTTTTACGTCAAGATTTAGACTTTGTAAATATGTTGTATTATGTTAGGTTGAAATATTTTAAAGCTTGAAAAGTAGACCGGGAGACAAAGAAAAAGTGAAACATCGAAGTTAGGAGGTGGAAAAAAAAAGATATTTAGTTTAGAAACCGGGAAAAGTTAGAAGAAAAAAATTATTTATTATTATATATATATATTAAAATTGTGGAGGAAAAGAACAGTGACATTTTTTTTTTCAATTTTGGTCCTCCAACTTACAACATTGACCCTTCACCTTTATGCTTTTGTTCACAATCAACCCTTTCACTTTGGTTTGAATTTTTCATAACCCTCACCTTTTATTACATATTATTAGTATTTAGTCTTTTGGCAGAAATGACTCCTCATCATTATTATTATTATCTACGTCTGTCATATTTATCGATTCGCATATTTATCGATTCGCAAACAACATTGAAAGCTTCTGGCCCCTACGTAGCGGGATAACCTTTCTAGTTTATCATTAAAGTCAGTTTAACTGTTTAAACACAAACATCATTTTGACTGACAATAGCCACTGTAGCCGGTTTCTAATGATTCGATTCTACTGGTGGTTAATGACTTGATACAGTAAAACTCTATAAAGCTGCATCTATTTTCTTAAATATCATATAATATTTGCAATTCTACAAACAAAAACACACAAATATGAATAAAAAATCTGGACCCTTTTCATGAGCTCAAAAAATCCCAATGTATTTTCAGATTTGTGCAGGAAGAAGGCATGGCAGATCACAAAGAGCTTTTGACCACTGCAATTGTTAAGAATCTCAAGAGTTACAAAAACTGTTTCCAATAAATTCCATGTGCTTATAATATATATAAACATACACTTTACACAAATATTTAAAAAATGTAAAAAGATTGATCTAAAACCATACCATTTCCATCCTCCAACACATTTTCCTGTAAAAATGTCTGAACAGCTTCCCAATACTCATCACCACCAACCAGCCACGTGTCCATATGTTTGCCATTAGGGAAATCCACAAAAATACATCTTTTGTTATGTAACGCTGCTTTTGCATATAACATCTCCATGTGAGATGGAGGAATCATCTCATCTTGTAGCCCAGAAAGAAACAAAATCGGCTGTTTTATCTGTGTATATCCATTAAAGCTTTCAACTTTTTGATGTATAAAACTATAAAAGATAAATCTTTACACTTTTTAATGTATAATACCTGTCCAATTACATCTATAGTGTTCCAAGGAGACCTGACAACAAAATTAAGAATTTTTGGGGTTTTAGAACTGCTTGAGCTTCCTCCAATGAAATATTTAAGAAAAGGTAATAAAACTCCAGCCATATCTAGAATTGAAGTAAAAGTGTTCTCCAATATCAATGCAGCCACCTTATCTGGATTATTTTTGGTGACCACAGCACCAACTGCCCCACCAAGAGACCTTCCAAATACTACTATTTGAGTAGTGTCTATGTCTGTTCTTTGACTCAGGTGATCTAAAGCAGCCTGGTGAAAATGAAAAAAAGATGGATGTGTAAAAGATAGAGAAAGCAAAATGGAATTATATAAAAAGTATTGGCTAGAAAGCAAACCTGTGCATCCCTGGTGATTCCTTCTTGAGAAGGATAACCATCACTAGCACCATACCCTCTGTAAGAAAGCATGAAAACATTGCAGTGTAGGTTTTGTAACATGATGCGCACCATTTCAAGACGATGTGCAATGTCTATTAGTTCATAAGTCAAGGCTTTCGATGATCATATATGATATATATATTCAGAATTTATATCACCAAGAAGGATACTACCAGCGTTTTCTTGGAAGAACAGAATAGTTGGGCCTGCAAATTGAACATGTATACTCTTAATCCCAAAATTTGGGAACAGATGGAGCTAAATTGAAGAATACTCTTAACATTTTGTTGCAGAAATCGCAAAATTGAGAAGAGAAGGAGCTAAGTTAACGAGTAATAAAGTGAGGAATTCTCTTCCGAATGGATCGTCAGTGATCATCCGATAGGGTAAACTAAAACACACATAAACCCTAAATTCACCAGCAGAGACGAATTTGCGCAATTTGAACAGAAGTGATGCATAATTGAAACGGGAAAGTAGATCACATATGTGAATTGATATATGCATGTTCATATATGGAGAGATAGAGATGGTGACCTGTGGAATTGGGAGAGAACTTGATGAACCACGAGTGAAGGCGGACACCATCGGAAGAAGTAAGCCATACGTCTTCGAAAATGAGGCGGAGACGATCGGGGGTGATTGGATAGGACTTGGTGAGACCAGGCAAGACGGGGACGTAAACTAACTTTTCCTGAAAGGCTACCAGCAATGCCATTCCGGCCACCGCTATTCCGCCGACGCCATAGATCAAGCTCTTGTACGACACCATCGCCACCTCTCTCTCTCTCACACACACAATCAATTCCTTGGCAAAGGAGTTAACCAAATCAGTAGCAACGTGTTCTCCAAAAAAAAAATAATAATAATAAGTGGGAAAAATAAGGAACAAAAAACAATCGTGCCTTTGAGTTTCTTCGAAGAGGAAAAGTTCGTAGAGATTTCATTGTTTTTTTTCCTCTCTAAAATTCAATAAAAATATCATTTTTCATTTTATCATAAGTGCAAGAAAATACAGATTATAACATTATAAACTTTTCTCCTCCTCTCAATTTTTAGAACACACAGTTAATGTCAGTTGATGCCTTAAATTTTTCAAGAAACTTTTTCTTCATGCATTGGTATCTTGATGACATGACCATCATAAGAGATTCAAAGAAGGTGGTCACAGTGTTGGATATCATACGGTCTTACATTGGGTCTTGAACCGAATATTAAAAAAACTGAGTTATTTTAATCTTCATGTGATGGTAGGAAGCTTCGTGGGAGTTTATCCATGTTGACATTGGAAGACTGTTATTCGGGGTGAGCTTCTTGGAGGGGTTGTTTGCAGCGACAAGTGTTTTATTGAGTCGTTGTGTTTTTCTTTCATAGTTTGGTGACACGTAGAGTGAGTTCATTTTGCCTTGATTTGTATGTGTATTTTGATCTTCATGTGATGGTAGGAAGTCGTGAGGGTTTATCCATGTTTTTTTTTGAAAGATGGTTTATCCATGTTCAACATCCCATGTTGACATCGGAAGACTTTTATTTGGGGTGGCTTCTTGGAGGGGTTGTTTGCAGAGACAAGTGTTTTATAAGAGGCGACATTGTTCTTTGACACATAGTTATGTGGATCCATTAAGGATATGGAGGTTTGTGGAGGTCATTTCTTTACTGATTTAATTTGGTGGTTTAGGGTTGTTCTCGGTAGCAGAGGCTTCATTTTATGTTTTTGTAGCCTCCAAGATCCAATCATGGGGTTTACAAGACAACAAACATGTTACAAGACAAAATGCATATGTGATATTGATTATAATTATATTTTTGTGTAACGTCCGGGTTTCGGGGCTAAGCATTATCAGATGATATAATAGTCTAGGTCAACTATTGTAACTCTTTTGAGATAATAAAGATGAAATATTTGAGTATTATGTGAATTATGTGCCTTTATATGCTTATTATTTATTTATAATGATATAATAAATAAAGGATAAAAATAAGCGTCAAAAATAAAGTGTTAGATAAACCCAATATCGATGAAGAAAGTTGTATTGGTCGTGACAAGGATTCCGGAAATATAAAGAATGCCGAAATCCGAGTTATAACGAAGAAGTTATGACCTGTCGAAGTTTCACGACAAAACCGGCACGACGCTGTGCGACGTAAATAGTGAATTTACGATAGATGACTTTTTGGCCTTAGTAATCTAAACCAAAGTTGTAGTATACGTTAAACCGAGAGCGTGCATAAAAAGAACGCACAAATCTGACTTCGTATGAGGAAGTTATTAATTTTCTAAGATTTGGCTTAGCAGTGCACAGCCCGAAACTCGAATTTTAGATCGAGCGGTTTTTGGCCTACGCGACCTAAATGAGAATTAATATCTCATTAATAGGAACTCAACGGTAAAAAGACAGACGAAAACGGAGTCCGTATGTAGAAGTTATGAATTTTACGCGGACATTTAACAGTATAATCTCCTCGTACTGTTAAATTTAAGATCGGTCGAGAATTAGCCGACAGAGTAAAATGAAAGTTGTAGATCTTATTTTTACCTACGCGTGGATATAAAGAACGCCAAAAACGGAGCTCGTATGTGAAAGTTACGGATTTTAGAAGTCGGAAGTGTGTTGTGCGAAAATGGGTGACGTGACACAATCTTGGCCATTGCTTTCTCCCCAAGTCTTACCACCAGATGGTGACATGTGGCACCAAGTTCATCCATATTTCACCTTATAAATAGAACCTCTCCCACTCTCATTTTCTTCACACATTTCCTATTCTTTCGTTCTCTCACTAGTTTCTCTCTCTAAGCCCCCTAACCCCCCTAAAGTCTAGGTAAACCCCCTAGCACCCGAAGGAAGCCCCGAGTCTCCCGGAGTCCCGAGAAAAAGGGTCTTTCGGTTCGGAAACGCTGCTCCAAGCGAAGCCCGGTTTTCTATAAAACCCGCTGTAAGTGAATGTGGGGACAGATTATACAAACACAAAGAACGCATACCTAGTCAAAAGGGTGTGAATGTGGAGAAGGGAAAGAAGGGCAATTTCGTTTTTTTCGGTTTCTTATTTCTTCATTTTTGGGACTGCAAAAAGTCAACACAACCCTGGTTCTTTCTTTCTTTCTTGATTATCTCCATTTTTTTCAATGTCGGTTTGTTGAGTTTAAAATAACGATTTAAAAAGAAGCAAACGTTAAGGATTTCAATAGGATCTAGCTGACTAGAGAATGTTTCAATAACTCTTATGATTAAAGAGTATCATACCATTAAATTTATAACAAAAAAAATGATATATACACTAAAGTCCCAATATTTTCAACGATTTGACAAAAAAGTCCTAAACTTTATTTTTTTGACTGCAAAGTCCTAATTGACGATTTGACAAGAAAGTCCTAAACTTTATTTTTTTGACAAAAAAGTCCTAATTACCGGCTAACCGGGAAAAAAGGGTAAAAGTGTAAAAAATTACCGGTAATTTGGACTTTACTATCAAAAAAATAAAGTTTAGGACTTTCTTGTCAAATCGATGAAAATATTGGGACTTTAGTGTATATATCCCGTATTTTATATCTACAAAATGTTGGGGTAAAACATGGGTAGATGTAATAGACGATGTGTGATAAAATGATGAGAGGCATCGATGTTGTTGTTGTTGATTCTGTCATCTAGCGAAGTATGGATGACAACCACGGACTCTTCTAGACAGTCCAGTGGAACGCTAGCAGGCTCGCAACCTGTAGGTGTTTGTGAACGATGTGTTCACCGGTGTACTCCATCCCCCTCATGGTTGCCTTTAGGACATTTATTGCTGAGGAACCCCCTTAGCAGTAGTGTCCATCCTGATGATGATCCTTAGGCTAGGTCCCTTATGATAGGTGTTTAGGGACGTAAAGTGAGGATAACGGGAACGGGTAATCGGGTTATTGTTGGTTGATGAAATTAATAAACTTATTTATTGTGGGTTGAAAACCCTATGTGATCACCAGGCTCCCAAGCCTGACCCACTCAGTTTCTTGTATTACAGGTAGTGGTGCACGAGCATAGATATGATGTTTGGGATGAGAGATTACGGATATAGGCCTGTAGATATGAATAAATGTAGTAAGGCTTATATTGTACTGTTTATGCTTTTGATCTGTATCGAACATGACATCCCGAGGTTTTTAATGAAATACATTTCTACGGAAATGCTTTGATAAATCTTTATCATATTTTATTTTGGGAACAAATTCCGCAACACTTTTATTTAAAATGTTACTCTGATTTTTAAACAAAGCATAAACAAAATCGGTCTTTTCTGGCCGTGAAAATGGGGATGTCACATTATGTTTTGGCTTGTCTTCATGATACGATCCCGAGCTTCGAATTTAGTGGTTTCATTAATAAGGATACCCTCAAAATATGGGAAATTAATTTATCAGGGTAATTACCTTTTTGTTTTGTTCATATCTGGGTAACTTCGTTTTTTTACACATCTAGGTAACAAACTTGTTGGAAATTGATTTATCAGGGTAATTACCTTTTTGTTTTGTTCACATCTGGGTAACTTCGTTTTTTTACACATCTAGATAACAAACTTGTTGCAGTGTTCAAATATAACCATTATGACGAGTTGTAGCAAGTTATATCTGGTCATAAGGTTGGACGGAGTCGGGTGCGGGAAGCGGGAAGAGGGGCGGGGCCTTTCCCGCTCCGATCAACACCGCACCGGCAGTGCGAGAACGGCTGCGTGGGGGAGGTGGGGGTGGGGTTGCCACGTTCTCGCTCCGATGGGGATTGGATAGAAATTTTTTCTTTATTATTATTATTATTATTATTATTATTATTATTGAAAATAACCGTTAAAAACGGTAAAATGTGATTTTTTTTCCAACGGCTATATGGTTTAAAATGTAATTTTTTTACCCTCTACAACCTCTATAAATACTCATACTCATTTACATTCAATCAAACCTTCAATCAAACCTCAACCTCTATTTTCTTCAAAAAAAAAAACGAATCCCGACAATCAAACCCCAACCTCCGATAGAAGGAAAAAAACTCATGTTTCAAGTTTAAGCACCCCTACTCGAAACATTTTTGTTATCGGTTCATCATCACAAGGAGTTTATCGTCCCCAAATCGATGCTCTCATTCAATCTCCACTACAATTTTAATACCAAAATGTTAGATAATATTACCCGGTCCAAGTTCCAAATGTTACTCCGCAAATGTTTTCAAACTTTGTTGTTTTTCCTAATCAACATTCGCCAAATCAACCTCAAACCCAAACCCAAACCCAACCCCAAACTCAAACCCAAACCCAACAATAATTCCAACTTGTCGATGAGTTGGATGACTCGGAAGAAGAAGAGATGGTTCCCGAAACTCAACCCACACCACCCCACAACGACGCAAAGGAAAACAACAAGCGCACGAGGGTGTCGCACAACCGGGAAGACAAAAGCCGATAGCATCGCTTCCACAAGAAGAGTTAGTTTTGGTAAAAGCTTGGGTTGACATTTCTGAGCATTCGAAGACGGGAAATGCACAACCGGGAGATCATTTTTGGTTTCGCATTTTAGAAGGGTTTCGGGAGGAGCTAGGAAAATATGGCAACTACCGTACGAAACACCAAATGAATTCGAAGTTTCGAGAAATAGCAAAGGGGGTTTAAAAAATAAATGGGTTGTACAACAACCTAAAAATCCAACGAAAAAGCGGTCAAGGCGACGAAGAAATACTTCAAGAAGCTTTGAAATTTTACCTTGAGGAAGTCAGAAAACCATTCAAGTGGCACGATTGTTGGAAATTATTGATTAAATGTCCTAGGTGGAAAAAATATGACCAAGATTTTATTTTTGGAGTACAACAATCAAAACGAATGAAAACGAGCTCTAATGGTTACACAACTTCCTCCGATGCTCGGGTTGGTCTAGATTTAAATCAGGAGGACAAACTCGAGCTAGAAGAAATTGTCCGACCGATGGGTAGGGACAAAGCAAAGAGGAAGGAAAAGGGACTTCTTCGGGTGCATCGGATTTCAGCATGGACCTTGATGAAATGCGAAAAATAACAGCGTCGTTTGATCGATATAATCTTAATTTCGCTGAACGTTTGACGTTCGACAAAGAAAAAGAAGAAGCAAGGAAGAAGGAGCGCGCGGAGAGACATGAAATGAAGGATATAAAGTTCTTGATGGAAACCACCGACCATCTCTCGGGACCGGCTCTCGAGCTCATGATGAGGAAGAGGGAAAAAATTATGAAAAAATATTTTCCATAGGTTGTTGTTGGTTTGTTTGATTTTTTGTTTGTGATTTTTTTAATATTCTACTTTTTTAAATCTTAGGTTTATTGTAATTTTTATTTTAATTAATGAAATGCATTTTCTTTTTAATTAAAATTTTTGTTTATTATTAATTTAAAAATTATAAATCATAAAAATGAATTAATTTTATTTAAAAAAAAATAAAAAAACGAATAGTGAGGATAGTTTTCCACACATTCCTTGGGTTTAGGTGAGGGAAATGAAAGTGAGGGAAAGAGTGTTGTGGCCCACAAAAAGTGAGGGGAGTTTTCCATCCACACTCTCCGGTCTAATGGTCATATATGGACACTTCCAACAAGTTTGTTACCTAGATATGTACAAAAAAAGATTATCCAAATGTGAACAAAACGAAAATGTAATTACCCTGAAAATTCATTTTTTTTTACGTTCTAATTTTGATTTGGTATAAAATTTAACCTAAATGGTAAATATTTTTAAAATCACACCATCTTGATAAATATATTTTTAAAATACACTACTTTGGTAAAAAAAAACACTCCATAATTGACAAGGAAAAAAACACATCGTCATTTTATGGAATTTTATTGTTTAAAATATTAAATATAAAAAATAAAATTTACTAGACACTAGATGAAGACCAATACATGAAACAGAACACAATCTTTAATGGAGTTTGCTCAATGTATTACAGGAATTTAAAATACAAAAAATAAAAGTACATTTTATTTACATCGATAGTATTGCTCTTGTCTCGTATATATAGAGCTATTTGATAATTATGCTACCAAAACAGTTCTCAACATGCCGTGGTCAATTTAAGTGCTCATAAAAGGTGATTGTTTAAAGAAAATTTAACTGAAGTTATTAATATTGCAAATATTATGATTGATCGCCTTAATAAAAACGGAAATTGACTTATGGTAATTACTTTTTTCATTTTGTTCACATTTGGATAACTTCATTTTTTTGTACCATCTAGGTAACGAACTTGTTGGAAGCTTCACATATGACCATTATGACCGGCTGCAACTTGCTACAACCGATCATAATGGTCATATGTGAACACTTTCAAAAAGCTCGTTACCTAAATGTGTACAAAAAAACGAAGTTACCCAAATGTTAACAAAATAAAAAGATAATTACCTTGATAACTCAATTCCTCCCCCTCCCCACCCCCGCCCACCCCAATATATATATATATATATATATATATATATATATATATATATATATATATATATATATATATATATATATATATAAGCCACTAGCCTTTTTAATAAAATTGTATTCATATAATCTTATAATATTTTAAATCACTATGCACCAATACAATCAACTTTATTTATATAAAATACAATCCCAAACACCTTAATAAACATAATTGTAACACCCGACATTTTCAAACAGTTAATTACTATGGTTTTTAAAACATCTATGACATAAAATCATATTTATCAAAATGACGTAAAAAAACATTTATGTTTGCTTCAGAAAATACAAACCGACACTAGGTGTTACATCTGATAATAAATAAAACCATAGCAAAGTAGAAAATATACATGACAAAGAACTAAGTCTAACTTTTATCTTTCAAAGGCTCATTTCTATAATCCACAATCTTTTAATTCTTCAAACCTGAACCTGAGATACATGACATTTAAACGAAATAAACCTTATGGGCCTTCTCGTATCATGCCTTTGTATTTGCATACGGTCCTTTAGTTATGTATAGATCTAAACCTTAGGCAAAATCATAAAATTGACAACCTATCAACCTTACCAAAATAATAAGAATAAATCAAGCCATTAAAGTATCCATCGACTTCTACCTCGCGAATGGATATATAGTCCCGGTAGAGTCGTCCCATATCACGTTCTTGGGATATCGCAATTGTTCGGAAAGTACTTTATATTATGCAATCACATTCAATGTACGCATGATCACCACTTTTATTTTGGAGGCTCAATCACATACATATGTCATGCTCTATCTAGAAAAAAATAATAACTTGCATAGTATAAACAATTTATCATATCGAAGCATTAACAAATTTAAAACCTTTAGCATGAGCTTATATCATACTTTTATCTTTCAAAATCACATATAATTAATACATACTCTTACAAAAAGTTCATTTATTCAAAATTACTTATTTTTCAAAACTTTAGCTTACTCCTTTGAAAAAAGTTTATTTATTCCTCAACCAATACTTTTCTTTTTCAAAACTATTTCAAATGCTACTTACTCTTTAAAAAAGTTCATTTGATCAAAACTCTTTGTATTAAGTTTAATCTTTAAGATCATTATGCCAAAACTAAAATAAATTCAGAGGCTTTTCCAAAACTTACAAACCTAGCCTCCCTCTTTGTCATTCTTCTTTCATTTTTTTTTAATTCATAGTTTGGTTTTAGTAAGTTGACTAATGAATATTTAAATTAGATAGTTGACCTATAGACATCTGTGATTTGGTCATCAAATAAATATGAATTATATGTTTTTTGTTGGCTAAATTTTGACATAAATAAACTCTATTACATAATCGATCTATATCTTTCCATATTTTTATAATTGAACGGAATACATAAAAGCTTTTTTATAAGTAAGTGGGTCACATAGATATTTCCCAAAGTCAACCAATGACTATCTATCATCCTTAAAGGAATTTTCTATTAAAAACTTACCCATAGAGTCAAAACTTTCAATACAATAAAAAATGTTATCTTGTTTTCAAACAAAAGAAGTATTCTTCAATTTAGTTATATACTTTATTTTAGAATATCACTTGCATTTTCTTATTCTATAGTTATTTTGATAACTATTTAAAGAAATTTATGTAATCCAAAAGTAAATATTTAGAATATATTAAACTCAAACACTTGACATTTTCTGCAATTATACAATCCCAACCAATTTCATAACAAATTCCAATTTCCATAATCATAAACCAACCCTTCAATTTATGAAATTCAAATTTCCAAACACCATTTAAGTAAGCTACAATCTTTTCCAAAACAAATACAATAAACTAAGCTCGATGAACACAAAATGAACATCAAAAACTTAGTAACAAAGCCAAGGATGAGTTGCCCAACCGGTGTATTATCTCACCAGCCAATCTATAAAACCACCAAACCAATCATGTTTGTCCACCCGAAGTGCTTAAAAACCCCTCATTTCCCCTTATTCCCCATGAAATGCCACTATACCCATGATAATGTTCATGTTCCATTCCAGATTGATTAGCTTCTTGATAACTTGAAGGGCAATGAGAGGTCAAGAATCTTGCAGGTTTTGATTGTTGTTGAGGTTTTTTGGTGGGAAGAAACCTCCCACCTGAACCTCTAACCCTATTCAAAGCATGTTTATGTCTAGATTCATGAAGGTAAGGCTGCAAAAGTCATTTCACACACAAAGATCACTAAAGATATCTACTTTCTTAATGTTAAGATCAAGAAAGATTGTGGGTACCCTTCGGTTTTTGACAAGTTTGTTTTGAGCTTCAAGTTTGGCTCGAATCTGTCTCCTTCTGAGAATACCATGATATTGTTTTGCATTGACATAAATAGGGCCATCTTCTGATAGATCTAAGGGGAGTGGAACTCGGGTAGGAGCTATTTGTATGATATGAGGTTGAATCTGGTCAAAATATTGATAATAATTTCATCATAGGGAGTATATTCATGAATCTTGATTACATAAGTTGTTAATGTGGTAAAGAGGACTTACAATAGGTTGTGATCCATAGGGGGTATAGAGTCCATTGAAGTAATTATCAGCATAAACATTTTCAACCTGATTTTGAAAGCAAAAAAGTTAGTAGAATATGTGAATAAAACGGATTAAAAAAGAATGAGATGTCATGTGACATACTATTGGTGTTGTCTTTTCAGCTTGAAGACCACCTGTCATGCCAAAACTTGGATTGCCCATAAATAAAAATGGCTTCATTTGAGTTTCATCTTGAAGATATCATGAAAAAAGAGAGTAACTAATCATATAAACACATTCTCTAAAAGTGAAAAAAACTAAGAAAATCAATTGAACTTTATTTACTTTGGCGATAAGGGAGGGGTAATTTTGGTATTTGGGTGATGACTAGTGAAATTATGAATTCGGGTATTAAGAATGGAAGTAGAACATCATATAGGTTTTGCTTAAGTAAGTAGAAGTAGAACATCATATAGGTTTTGCTTAAGTAGGTTGCTTTTACATATTTTAATGTGTTATTAACTACTAAGATCGTTTTTGTTCTTTTACTAATGTGTTGTTTCTTTTCTACTTAACGCATGTATGGATATAGTGGCTGAATTGGTAATGATGTTTGTCTGGATAAAGTGTTGTATACATAAGGTTTGTTTCTTTTCTAGACTAAAATAAGCCGTATGAATGAGACTAAATAACTATTTTACCCTTGCATTCCAACAAAAAAACTTCACAATACTTATCAATTTTTAATGTGAGAGGAGTTAGGAGGAAAAAAGAAGTATGGCAATTAGGTAAAGAGTAAGTGTTTTAATACATAAAGGCAGGTTTTTAAGCTTAACCCATAAAGTCATTTTGTCGATATTAACTTATTAAGTCAAAAAGAAACAACCATGTATGATAGTCCACATTAAGTGCTTTAACTCATCAAGCCCATTAACTAAAAAAGAAACAACTTATTCGCTATGTATAAGTGTTTCTTTTCGACTTAGTGAAAATGTAACAACTTGAAAGAGAAAGTAATGAAAACTAGGTTTTCATATTAAGTCCTAACTTTTGACAATTTATGGGACCTTAGTTTTAGGCTTTTATATTACACTCATATGAATATGATTATATATGAACACACCCTTGTTTCTTTAATCTTTAGAATCACAAAGTCTTAAGGGGTGTTTGGTTCGCAGAATGTTTTTGAAAGGAATGGAATCAATCGAAAGAATTGGAATATGAAGGAATTAGAATTTGTCATGCATTTGGTTGACATGAGAAATAACGGAATTTTTTATTGTTTTATGTTTGGTTTGGAAAATATGTTCAACTATTATAAATATTTATGTAAAAACACCAAAATATTCCTTATTGCTTTTTTGTACTTGTGTATTTAATAAAAATGATAGATTTTTGTCTACTAAAATCTTTTATTTATTAGTTACATCTTTTTAACCTTTTTAATAAAAATCAATTGTGTTCCACAATTGTATTCAAAATTAATGAATAAAACCCACCCCAAGATTTACAAATTTTAAATTTAATTTTTTGAATGATCAAGTTATGGTCTTTAAGTTGAGGAAAAAATGATTACTATTTTTAATTTTTGGATTTTTGGTTGTTGATTTTGGTGATGCTTATATGTCCATTTGCGTTTAATATCATTGTATAGAAGGATATATTTGTCTTTTTGATAGAATAGGGAGAATGTAATTTAGATTCCTTTAAACATGGATTTCAACGGGAATCCAATTCCATCGATTTCAACAACCAAACACATCATTGCAGGAATGTTTCATTCCAATTCCTTCAGAATATTCCACCAGAATCCATGAAACAAACACGCCCTTAGTATTCATGTACCCATTACAAGTTTGATTCTAAAAGCCAAAGCCAATAAAAGATTGAACATAAACCTTGTGTTATTGTTTTTTTTTTTGTATCATCATCATCATCATCATATTAGCTTTGTTGCAATTTGCAAACTAACCAACATTGTTACAAAAATGTAAAAAGGTTGTTTATTTAGCATTTACATTTTCACAAGTTCTCTAACATGGCTTGTTATTGCAAACTATAGTTCAATAAGAATAATGGTATGATGGTTGAAAAAGTCAATATATCCAAAAAAAAAAAAAAAAAAAAAAAAAAAAAAAAAAAGTTATAGCAATCAACTACCTGAACCAGATGATGAGATGCATTGATCTTGAGAATGAACTCCATGTGTAGCAACATCATCATCCTTTTGAGATTGATCAGATGAAAGACACGTGGATGAATCTTGATTGTAAGATTGCTGAGTCAACTCATTCGGGTCTACAGGTAGGTGGGGTGCAGGAACCATCTTCAAGCTATAATTTTTGTAAACAATTTGAGGTATTTGCTGCTCATCTCAGTATCATCATGTTATGCAAGTTACATATGTAATTAAGCATTAAATTGACTAATGCTTTTCTTTGATTTACACATTGTAGTTTGTTTGAATGAATCTAATCAAATAAAGCAACCAAAACATTATTGATCATGAAAAAAATTCAATCCAATATCATAAAAAGACCCGCCATGAACATGCATACAGTTCACAGCCCTATCGAGATAAGATCAAAATCAATTTCGAGGGACGAAAACAATTTTTAAAACCCCCAAAAAGATCAAAGCCCAAATCTTTATCAGAAAATCGAAGGTCACTGATGATTCTCGTAACTAGAAAGGGTTGGGGGGACCCCGAGAAGGAGGAAGAACAGCTGAAAAATATTACAGAAAAAGAATATAAAGCAACTGACTCAAACTCAACACAGTATGCATTGATTTCATTCAAGAATCATAAATAAAGATATACCCACATCAAGATTGAACAAAAAGTATAAAATATAAGATAAAATTAGCAAAAAAGGAAAACCCGATATAGTAAAAGTCAAACAAAAGAAAAAAGAAAGAAACCCAGATAAGAGAAGTGTTGTAAGATGAAAGAAGTAAGAGAGAGAATGAAGAAAAATTGAACCTTTGAGATCTTGAAGAAGGAAGCAAGAAACAGAGTTGTTGGGGGAAATTGGGCATGTCTCCTCCCTTGAAACCCTCTAGAAATCTTCTCTCTCTTTCCCTGTCATCTAGGTTTGATGTATCTATCTAATATATCTATCTCTATACTTCTTCCTCCCAGAAATAGCTTTAAATATTTCCTGCTAATTTTTAATGCTCAATGGAATAATAAAGACAGACACCTATGCCATCGAACAACCATCCTCCCCTGCTCATTTGGAAATTTTCTTTTCTTATTATTGTCGCTTCTGTTCTCTAGTTGGTCCCACCATAATAATCACCTTATTTTATTCAAATATTATAAATATTTTAATGATGACGTACTTTGAACTATGAACATACCATAAAAACCTAATTGGTTTAATCCTTTCACAAAAATGGTAAATTAATAGTATTAAACGTATCAAATATTGTTACACGACGAAAAGTCGTTCACATGACCCATAAATTATTCTAAGGATTTTAATGGAAAACATCTTCTAACTCCCGAACTTGTGGTGATCCGACTTCATGATTTGTGTGTATATATTGTCTTGGTTGGAGATTATGGATTACCAAACTTATGTGCAATTTTTTTCTTGATCAACAAACCATGGTACATACACTAAAGCTTATTAATTAATTACCAACAACGAAATATCTCTATCTCATAGGAATCTTCTTTCTCTATATCTCTATCTTTGTTACGTGACTTATCACATAATGTTTGTCCCTTTGACAATTTGTCTCTTTTAAGAGATCTACTATTACTCATTTAGTACTTAATACATTAAGTACTTAATCTATATCTATGTCTAGTACCATAAAACATTCTACAATACTAATAATAGCTAGACATACTTACATACTCTTATGATTGTATTATATATAATTATCTTCTATCTCTTTCTTTTATCTCTTAGGTATTTAGCAAATATCCTTATAATCTAAACCCACATTTTATTTGTATACATATATGTAACATCTCATTTTCACATTCGAATAAAATTCAATAAACTGAATCGTTCGTAAATCGTAAAAATGAGTGCGCCAAAACATATATATATATATATATATATATATATATATATATATATATATATATATATACATACACACACATATATAAAGTACACATCGTCCCGATCCCAAAAATATAAATTTCGTAGAAATCTGACTCCGTATGAATTATATATGATTTTTATAAGATATAAAACTCCGTCGCGCACAAGGAATGTCTGACGTAAAAATCTACGAAGAGAATGGTTGACTTTTGGGTAAAGTCACTAAAAGGACAATCGTGGTAGTCTTTAAGATAGGAATTTTGAGAAAAGGAATGTCAAAAACGGAGTCCGTACGAGAGAGTTATGATTTTAGCAAAATCATTAAATCATATAAAAATAAGGGCTAAAAATAAAGTCAAAATTAGCCGATGGAGCCTAAAGGAAAGTTGTAGTATATGTTGATTGCTACGCTTGAAAAAAAACGTCAAGAACGGAGTTCGTATGAAGAAGTTATGGAATTTACAAAATCTGTGATTTGCGTCCCGCGCAGTGCACGCCCGGTGCGCGACGCACGCTTCTAGAACGTGAAAACGCGGACCACAGAGAAGCCGACACGTGACACAAAGTGGCTAGGAAGACGTAGCCTTAAAATACGCGACGTGCACCCCTTATGCACGCTGCGTACCCCAAAAATGGCCTATAAAAGGGCAGCAACCCTCATTCTCTCCCTCACACATTTCCAATCGTTCTCTCTCGATAAAAATTTGATACTAGCCTATTTTTCCTTCGTTTCTGGCCTGCGAAGAAGTCCTATGACACCCCTGAGTACTCATATGAGTAGTAACATTCGATTAGGAGATCCCGAGTTAGTATTATGCCCGCTTAGATCCCAGTTCTCATCAAAAGTACTTTGTAAGTGAGCTACGCTTACTCTACCTCCGTGTAATTTATAATTATAGTCATAATCGTTATGATGAACTTATAATTAAGATTTATCAGTAATTCCATGTTATAATACTGATTAATCTACTTACGGGAGAGGTGTCTAGAATGGTCATGTTGGCTTGGTTGTTGGATTTCAGAGAAGCTATATGCCGAAATGATCCTGCCTCCCAACTGCCCTGCCTGGCTGATGCTCACTTAATATATCTATCGGTATTCATTAGGATTAGTGATAGGTCTAGCCTACGTTACCAGATCGTCGTAGAAATTAATAAGTTATAGTATTATAGGTTAATACTCGTTAAGCGTGTTACTCGTCTGTTGGATCACCAATCGGATCGCCTAGATCCTGTCAATCGTCTAAGTGGTTGTCCAGGTGAGTTCATCTCATTATATTATGTATTCCAGTATATATATGTGTGTGTTAGGATATAGGAACTAGCAGTGTAGAGCCTATAGTATAGTTTTATATGTGTCGGTAGAACCGAATATGTAGTATCTATGTGTGAGATTGTTGTTATGCTTATAAGTTATTATAAATTAGTTAGGGGATGATGGCGAAACGACAAAGAGGTCGGGAGTCTATAGGCCCATCTGTTAACGAAATGGCATGTAGGCCGTAAGTACACATTGATACGTGTTAACGAAATAACATGTAGGTCGTAAGTACACGTAAATTCGTGTTGAAGACAAAATGGCGTGTAGGCCATAAGTCTAAAAATACATATATTATTTGTATGCATGTATGTGTATTGTGGTATATGGTGTATTGGGGGAACTCACTAATCCTAGCGCTTACCCAGTTGTTATAAATGTTTTTCAGGCACTTCATTTGGTTCGTGATAAGGGCAAGGTTCGAATGTACTCATGCACATTCTCAATAATGTTTTCCACATTATACTCTGATGTAATTGAATATTTAATAAATAAAAATGAAAAATTTTGAGTTGAAATTCAGTACGTTACAATATATGCTCTGCTACATGTATCTTGCATATACTTCTTACTTACTTTTAATATGTGTACATGCTCTATGTAACATCCCAAAATCAAGGTAAATTTTTTCATTTTCAAAATCCAACAAAAATCATAATAGTTTACAAAACATAGTTCCCACGAGTAAATATCATGAATCGGAGTATCCCAAAATCAAATATCATCAAATCAGAAGGAAGTGTACGATCACGTCTTTGTTTTTCCCCGATCATCTAAAGTACCTGAAACAATAAACTTAAATTGTAAGTCAAAGCTTAGTAAGTTTTCCCCAAATACCATACAATAGAACATATACACATAATACATATTGGGTCCATAACCTCCCGATTGGATTACCCCTGGCACACAACCTTCTGGTTGGATTGCCCTGGCCCACAACCTCACGGTTGGATTGCCCCTTCTGGCCTACAACCACAAGGTTGGATTGCCACCGGTCACAACGTTTCGATTGGATTGCCCGGGTTTGTTGACTGGCAGCACGAAGCAATACAGTCTCAACCAAACCACACTATGTCAACATGTAAAACAAATAAACACATAATGACAACCAGATAATCATGCAGGTCTTAACAGTTCACTACAGTATAGCAACATTCCAAACCAGAATACACAATCTACTGGGTCGGCATTGGTGTCTTCGACCCACAAGTACAGTGATGAAAACTCACCTCACAGTCTGAAAAGATAGCAGAATAGAACTCTGCTCCAACTGTCAACTCTACGCGTCACCTATATAGAAAACAGTGACCTAGACTCAATTCACAACTCAAAATACCCAAAATACCCCTAGTTCAACTTGGTCGAAAGTCAAAAGTCAACTCGAGACAGAGTACGCGTTGCGTATTCAGCATGTATGCATGGCGTACTCATTCAACAAAAATGGGGCTTCAATGGAGTACGCATTGCGTACTCAGAAGTACACCCAACGTACTCGGCCAACCTTAGCAATCACTCGAAACGGTCCAAGATTATGATTGAAAAAGCTCATCGTACTCGGCCAAACTTAGCAATCATTCAACAGGCCCACCGTAGCTGAGACGCGTGAAAGGTGATGTGAATCTGATTGAGCTCTTCAGGCAAATCTAATCGATAGGCTACCCGACCAACCTTAGCAATCACTTGAAACGACCCAAGATTCTGGGGCCCCAACTTGCCTCTCTTCCTAAAGCATGTCACCGAAGTGAGACTCACATACCCTGGCTAATCATGAATCCTTGACCCACTAACTTTGACCAATGAAAAATAACCATCACTACCCTGCTCGAAATACGGAAATACAATACCTTGTCCGACTCCCAAAGAAGCAAAACCATCCCGGAACACAATCAATATGACTTCACTTAGCAACCCGAACCATACGGAACCCTTCCAGCCCTGAATTCTTGTTGATACCACTAGAAAACAAAATTTCTGACTATTCACTATTGTTGAACCCTCCACTTGAAAACAAAGGTGACTCCCAACACGAGTCTCAACTAAATAATCGTTGTAGTGGAACACGAAAAATGTTAATATATATTCCACAACCCCCTTTAACCACTTCAAACCTAGGCATCTTATAAAGAAATCTCGAGAGACCACTCGGAAACCCACAACTGCCACACAAACAACCCAATGGTTTGAGAATACTCATTCGCAATGAATAACTTTCTTTCCCTAGCTGTAAGACCCAACTTCTCGTGAGAACCACGCAACTGAGAACTCTCAAAACTACAACAACAAACCAACTTCATCAATATACTTCCCAGAACCGGGAACCCATAATTTCTAAACTTCAGAAACCATCCTCTAAGACTAATGTTCATCCATTCGTCGTACCTACCCCTAGTTCCTAACTAGGAACACAACCAAAACATGCGGAAAGTATACTCAAAACATATAAATTTCGAATTTCGCCCAATCCTAAATCCGAAAATTGCACCTAAAATCTTAAATACACACTTGACTCCCTGACAAGTCATCACCAACCTACTGCTCCCACGAGTATAATGATGGTCCACCCTAAGATTTTCACGTTGCATCCAATTCCCTTAACAGGTCAGGTGTACCTCCACCTGACAAATCACTCGAGACATTCACGATGAACTTCATGACTCAAGATTCCATAACCGATACCCATCATTGGTAACCAAACTCCTAATAAACAACCTGCAAGCAAACAGGATTTATAATGCAAACACTCTGCAAGAGACTTCTGATGCACAACTATTACTCCCAACAACCTTTAACTGCCCACATTATCCAAACTAGTTAATTACTGAGTCTCCCGACTCCCATAATGCACTAACACCCAAACATTCCAAGAAAACTAACGA